GGGAAACCGGGGCCGGGGCCGGACGCTGGGCCCCTCCGGCCACCGTAGTCTGGCACCTCCGCGCCCACGCGTTTCCTCCAACAAGGCGGGCGGCTCTCGGCGCCCCCTGGCGGCGGGTGACCAAAGCCCCGGGCTCCATTTTCCCGCTTCTTGAGGGAAACTTTGAATCAAGTTCAGCAAAGAGCCTGGAGGTCCCCTAGCCCGAGGCAGCCCGGCCTCTCTGGGAGGCCGGTTGGCGGCAGGTTCCAGCGCGGCGGCCCCAGCACCCGGCCTGGGCGTCACCTCACGTCACCGTCGAGGTAAGCACGTTTCTTTCTTCCTCAAACAGCCACTTGTTAGGCTTGCTGGGAGAAGCCAGCGTCTGGTCCAGCCCCAGCAGCGGTGGTGTTGGTATCGCAGACGTTAGGGCGCTGGCTGTTCAGGGCGGGGAAACAAGCTGGTGTGTTTGTGGAGGGAAGTTATGGGGGACAGCGCTTGTGGGTGCAAGGGCTGGGTCTGCTTTACACCCAGGGGGTTTTCGGTCAGTGCAGTTCTTACTGGTGGGAAGGTTGTCAAGTGGTGGCTGGTCCAATTTCAGTCCTGAGCAAATGGCTTTGTTTTCTATTTTGGTCGGCGAGAGGCGTGAGCGTGCTGGGACAGGTGGTGGCTCTTTGTGGTAGCCAGGACTCGATCCTCACCAGTGTCCTGACTCTGCGTTTGGTACCCATGTTCATAGTTTTTAAAATGTACCATAGCTTTTAAGACAGAACTCGGCACTTACGGGTTCTAGTTCTCTCCCTCCTGAGAAAGGAGGGCATAGTTTGATGCTAGAATGCAAGTAGCGTTGGTGGCAAAACAAGATGTGGAATGGTACAGGATTGTATGAGAAGGAAAAAACGACGAGGCACAGAGTGTGGGAATGGCTGGTCAGTTGTGCGGTTTTCCTGTACAAGAGGATTCTGTTGGTTCAGATTGCAGACTTCTGTGATGAACGGTATTTATTAGTAGTATGAAAAACTTGACCATGCCTCTCACTTTTAATATTGTTTTAAAGCTTTATGATGCAGCAATTTGGAGTTCTGAGTCTTACCTCTATTTAATACTTGGATTCATGATAAAAAAAAAATGCTCTTATGATGCTTACTGAATTTTAATTTTATTTAAATTAAATTTTTAATTTTAATTTTTCAATCCCAATTTATAAAAATCGAGATATAATTGGCAGATACCATTAATATTATAGTTTTTTTTTCTCCTCCTGACTAGAGTAAACCTATAACAATGATTCAACATTTGTGTGCAAAACTCAGTATGCAATTCAGTGCTATTAACTATAGTGATCATGCTGTGTAATGACACCACCCTGACATTTTATAACTGGAAGTTTGTACCTTTGGACCACTTTACCCATTTCACCTGCTTCCTCCTTCTAGCAACCACCAAATCAGTTCTCTGTATCTGTGAGCTTGATTTATTTGTGTGTTTGGTTTAGCATTCTACATATATGTGAAATCATAGTATTTGTTTTTCTCTGGATCCTAAAGCCAGTGAAACAAAATAAGGATTTATGTCCTGAGCTAAGGGTTTTCAAGCAGAGAGTGGGGGAGCTCACTTGATGAGATGACTCATGATGAAGACTAATAACTCTGTAATTGAGTGTTTGCCTTCCCCCTAGAGATAGATTTTTCTGAAAGGAAGGTTATTTCTTGTAAAAATTCCAATGCTGGACAATACTAATTTTTATTCTTCTTAGTAGATCATTAAGGGTTGGTAAACCTTTTTCATGAGCCTGTAGGGGTCTTGACTGACCTCTGCTCCAAAAACCCATATGCCAAAATGACAGGTCTTGGGAAGGTCTGTCTGAATAGTCAT